CTCTACATCTTGTTACCTTGGATGCTACTTTAGTACAGCACTGAAGCAGTGACAGATTGGAAGAGACGTTGTCTTTCCGATCTTATATTAAAGCAAGATTCCATATGCCCAGATGGCCAAAAAGATTGAAGAAATGGATGGAATCTCTAATGACTTAGCCAACAGCATCCCTCAACATACAGCACCAAACATTAATAAGATTATTAATTAATTTACTATTTATAGTAAACTTCATGTTTACAAATTGGCAAATGCATCTATCTTTGTAACATTCACAGCCCTTTGGCAATTCAGTCTTGTAAAGGACTTTAGGACATCCAAAGGACATGCTGGGTGCTTTATACATGCAAGTAGTCAACACATAAAAGTATTTTCTGTTAAAATCACCATTCTTCACAACTTTAACAGTGGGACCCATACTCTATTGTTTGCTTCAGCATTAACTCTGAGTTCTTTGTTTACCATGAATACCCTTGAGCAATTTATCAATCTAGCACTGCATTGCAACAACTCACCCAAGGCTCTGTGGACAGCACCTTCCAAACTTGCAACTTCTACAACCTAGGACAAAGCCTGTAAATACATGGGAATGCTAACACCTGCAAGTTCTCTTCCAAGGCACATTTGAATAGCAAGTTTCTCATTCGGCAGCAGCAAGTTGCAAATTAAGGGAAATGACAGTTTGTTAAATGCCTTATTAATGGTTCAATGCACCTCATTAATATTCAGTTTCCTATCTTACCAAATGCGCTGAACAAGGTAGATGTCATGAATTTGCAATACTGAAGGCAGAGCAGGTACCTGGCGACTAACTTCCTAACAGGGAAATGTATTGCCGTCCCTTCACTGTCACTGGATCAAAATTCTGGAACTCCTGCCCTGACTGCACTGTGGGTGCACCTACAGCACATGCACTACAGCAATTCATGAGGACAGCTGATCACCACCTTTTCAAGGGGACTTGGGGATGGGCAATAAATGCTGAATGAATACAAAAAAAATTTGTCAATTAACGCATGAATTCTGTGCCAAGTTCATGATACAAAATGGTTCTTATAACAGTTCAATTTAAAGATGACATATATAATTTTTGAGAAAATTTCTATAACTTTTAGATCACTTTTTCCAGGTCAGGTGTAGTATTTCATGCAAATAGGCACAACAGTCTTCAAATTAATATAATTCTTGGATTATGCACAACAGGAAAAAACAAATTTGTGCTGAAGGAGAAGAGTTCACTTCAGAATGAACTGTGAATAAATGGATTAAGTTGCAGTATAATACACAAGCACATATTCATTTTAAAATACAACTTGAGAAATATGCCATTTATAAATGTTTTTATAAAGCACACCTCACCCTCGAGCATTTTGATCGATTACTAAAAACAAGGCTCTTGCTTCAAATCATATTATGTATCAGTGTTTCTTCTTATCTCAGTTTCTCCCCTCAAAACAAAACAGGGCAAATTTAGAGAAGCAGCTAAAGCACACACCCCTTTTGATATTCTTAGAATTTCTTATTTTCCGAACACTTAACGATGAGATCATAAATACTACAGAAAAAAAAAACAATTTTGCCAAAAAGAAAGTATGACCTTGACTAGTCATAATAAATGAAACAGACAAAAGGCAATTGTCTGCAGATGTACTGTAAACAGAGGGCACTATCCAAGAAAGAGTTGCCTGACACTCTGTCATGCAGGTTAGATTAGGATCAGCTGTCTAGAAATAGATATTTATCCAAAGTTTACTATACCTACTGGCTCCTATCATGAAGCCTGATGTTTAAAAAGATGGGATTATGACAGGCCTGTGCAAGTAGGTACATTGATTTTGATTAGGTGTTCTTATACTCAAACAAGAAAACACATGCAGCCAAGCTGCAAAAGGCATTAAAATATACAGTATGGCATTGTAGGGAGTACACAGAACTATGCCCATGAATGTTACATAAATGGAGCTTTTTCAATGCTGTATTCACAACAATAAGGTTATCCCGACATAAATATGAAATTTTGTTGCATTTTGTAAGCATTATCATGAGTTGATTTGCATTTGTGGAAATATTTGTCCATTCTTAAAGATTCAGGAACATGTGTTATCCTGTTGGATATAAAGTGACGCTCCAAACTGATGGAACAACTCGAGTGTTTCCATTGGAGAATCTTTATGACACAGCGTAAAACATGGCTAAGGGACTTCTTTATGGCTGGCTACATTATATACACATTCAAGAATGTGTAATAATATTAAACACAGTTAAAACCTTTCATAAAATCTGAAAGAACTGTGGATGCTGTAAATCAGAAACAAAAACAGAAATTGCTGGAAAAGCTCAGCAGGTCTGGCAGCATCTGTGGCGAGAAATCAGAGTTAACATTTTGGGTCCAGTGACCCTTCCTCAATATCAGAAACAACTTGCTACATTTGCCAAATGGTGAGGTGAGCTTCTCATGAGGCAGAAGTGAGTTGCCAGCTATGGGGGATTATAGCTTGTTAACTCCTTATTAACAGAACAAATTGCTCATTAATATTCAGCTTCTTATCTTGACAAGTGCACTGAACAAGCTAGACATTAAGAATTCTCAACATTGAAGACGGTGGGGAGGGGAGGGTGGGGGTTACCTGGCAACTTCAGCTCACCACTTGCTCCAAATGACTACCTCTGTGTTTGACATTGGCCATTGACATCTCAGGGCATGCTTCTTGGGCACCAGCCACATGCACACATTCTGCAGATGTGGCATTTGACATGTGCCAGCCTCTATGAATCTACATGGCACGTCTCAGATCCATTTACAGGATGGAACTGCACTTCAGTGCTGTAGTTCAGGCTGCACCAACAACCATCATTGTAACACTGCAGCAAGGACACTGTGCTCTCTGGGACATACACCCAGCTGCATCTCTGGCCTGTTTGCTTGGTATCATTGAACTCACTCGCTTTGAGCCTACCTGAATGCTCATGACATCTCTCCCTTACATTGCCTCACCTTGTCTTTCTGTGTTTACCCCCTCAGCCAGAGATACCCAGGCTTAGACCACAGCTGTATTGCTGTGTTGTTTAGTGCAAACACAAAGCCAGGAAGCTTGTCATAGTTGTCATCAGTCCTCAGTCACATCAAGGGAGACAGCCTTCAGTCAGGAGGTCCCCAAAAAGTAATTTAAAGATAGCTTCCGATACCAGTCATGGGGCTTTGACATGGTCAGTGAGTCACGATTCTCTCCACATTAGGGATGACAAACAGAATATCAAGCAGCTGACCACCAATCCTGACTCTTTCTGCTCTGCTGTGGGGTGCTTTTCTCTTGGAATGAGAGAGGCAGATATTAACAGAGATGAAAGTGAGTGGCACAACTGTCACTTTGATAAAGGTGAGATGTCCCAAGTGAGTGAGTAGGGAGCTCAGAGGGCATGGCAACTGGGATGGTGAAAGTGAGTGAGGAATGATGTTAGAGCTAGTGAGGAGAGTGAGTCTTGGACGGTGGGTACACTCGCAGAGAAACAGTAAGTTAGCTCTGTTGGCTCGATGGCTGGCTGGTGATACAGAGTGATACCAACAGCATGGATTCAATTCTAGTACCAGCTGAGGTATTACCATGAAGGTCCGACCTTCTCAACCTTACTCCTTGCCTGAGGTGTGGTGACGTCAGGGTAAACCACCACCAGTCACCATTCTCTCTCATGAGAGATCAGCCATATGGTCTGCTGGAATTATTGCAGCTTTACTTTTTAATCTTTATTTTTATGCAACACAGGTGCTTATGCAGGTATTTCATTTGTTATCATTTACAAATTGGGAAATAAAGAATATTCGCTATTAAAAATTGGCTTTGAGCTGACAATGAGACCTGACAATGGAAATGGATCTGGGTGGGATGCAGTAATACTGTAATGGAGCAACAGTTTGCACTGATAATTCTCTCTTCCTCAGTCAGTAATGGGATCCAACGTAAGCTGGTAGAGATATTGCCTGTTGAGTCTTGAAAATGGGATGATAGCCTGAATGAGCCCTTTATTTTAATGCTTTTAAATTTCAATATTTTAAAAAAGACAGTTTTTGAGTCTCACCTGTAGCTGTCGAATAATCATGAAAAATCTTAAAACGTAAAAGGTTAGAAAGTTTCCTAAGTACTAATAGCTCAACAGCAGCTGTTCCAGATAGAATTGCTAAAGACTTCAATATGCCAACTTCTACAAAACTAAAATATTAAACTGCAAATATGCACTTGCATGAAGAAACTGCACCATGTATTATTGACTATACAGCATCACTCAGGAAAAAAAACTTTTCCTGTTTCCTCAGTCGGCATTTAATTCTGTCCATCATCTGGGATATGAAGGGACTGATATGTT